GCAAATATACCGATGATGGACAGTGAATCAAGAATTTATCTTGATCGAATTATGTTTTGTGTATTGGCTTTTTGCAATACGCATGAGTAATTACACAGCAACATATCCGCATTTTCGGATATTTTCCGACGCAAAAATGCGTTTTTTCTTTTATTTTGTTTTGCGCGACCATCATATATCGATTATCCTCATCCCTACCGGTCAGTCTCATTTTTATGTCCACCCTGGCGGGAGTTTTTTGCTCGACAACTTCACGAGTGTACATTTTTTTCAGATAGGGGAATAACAATCGTCATATTTTTAAATTAGAACGCAACACGAGGATGCCAATGACGTTTTTTGCGCGCGGCTCCTTTTATTTTGTTTAAAATCTGCCCGCGAGCGTGTGCGTTTGCATTTTTCAATACGACGTGAGTTTCGAATAAACACGATTTTTGTTTCAGGCGCTGTAAATAATTCCATTTGAAAATTGTCACGGGTTTTATCGGTTGCGACCTGCGTTTGCTTGTTTGCTTTTTTTCGCTCTATTTTCGTGCACGTACGAACTTTCGAAGTAATTTGCACATTTAATGGCGATAGTCTACGTTCCCATTAAAATCTTTAGTACAAGCGTAAAAAATGGCGGAAGAAAATTCCATTCCCATCATAACAGGAATCTGCAACTCTCTGTGGGATGTAATACTTATTAGTACGGAATGTGATAATGTGATATTTTTTATATTAAGAAAACATTTTACAACCTATCACACAACTGCCTATTTTTTGTTATAAGACTTGTCAAAGTAAAAATAGATTAAAAATTTAAAAAATATATAGGAAAGGATTAGTTTGTATTATTTAATATTATTATTCTAAAAACTATACATGTGTACTCTTTAATCTTACTAAATTAACTTCTCAATCAAAATATAGCAATTTCTATTGCAACACAAATAAGAAATAAATTCTTTTATTTTTATTTAATGAAAGGGCATTTGTGACAATGATTCAAGGATGGTGGTGGGGCTGGGGAACTTGTCATGCAACGAGCGTCAAAACGATGAAATCAATCGTTATTCGGGCGCATCAGTCGGTCATAACTCAGAATTCAATTAAATCCACAAATCGGATTAAAGTCACGTCCGCCATATTGATGGAGAAAAACGGGGATCTTCGTCAGACAAGCAAAAACCTGTCGCTGAAGTTGCACGCGCGAACGCGGTATCGAAGATCAAGGAACGCGGCGGATGTTGGCGACTACGTGCCGAAAACTCGTCGCGTTGGCGGAAGTTTCGCTTAAGAAGAACTTTTTCCGGGGCTTGTAATATGTCCACTACAAAAAAGCGGAAGCGATTTGCCTCGAAACGGTAAGAAGGTGGCGCGCGCCCGAGGAGCGCGTCTTAGTTCCGAGCTTCGGAAGAGCAACGACAACTTAGTTGGTTGTTTTTGTTCCTCTGCGGTTTGTTCAGAAAGTGGACTGAAGTATGATATTGCAACTTATCCCGCGGATGCCGCTCGAGCTACGTGAAAAAGTGCCGTCAACAATCGCAATAAATCATCCAAGAATGTACTTATAGCGCGAATCTAAACTTTAAGCATGGGTTTCTCTTGACAAGAACATATTATCTATCCTAATGTGTTACTTTAAAATATAATTATTAATATTAATGCGTGTATACACACACATACACAATCTGAATGTTATTATAAAAAAACAAGAAGTCAAATATCGATAAAACTAAAAATCTCTACTTCTCTTTTCTACACGATATCAAAGACGAAGATTAAAGACAAGGTACGTATTACTGTGTTTTTGATATCGTCTGTTTCATACCACATGATTCAAAAGTGATAAAAGTCGAAAGGTCGTCGTTAATGCGCTCTTGACTCACGTATCTCACGTTTCCCCAAAGACGTCGGACGCAACATTTCGGACACATTGCACTCTCATGCATATGGAATTTCCAGGTGACACGTCTGCGCGTTCTGTTCGCCGTGCCGTCCCAATACCAGAAGCGCGAGAGATAGCTCTTCGTGCGCAAACCGCCGTTTCTATCGCGGCTCTATTAATTATCGCGATCTGCCATAAATTCTGAGTAATAGTTACGGCGTACAGGTCGAGAGGGTTTATTAGGGGTGCTGTTGTGCGGGGTGCTGTTGAACGAGGGAGATGCGCGACGATGCTGAATACGTGCAGAAACCGCGCCGGTGAGGGTGGCTGCGGGTAATTACGACAGAGCTCTATATATAACGTTCGCCTCTGTTACAATTTTGTACGCAAAACCAACGGAATTCTTCGCCAGACAAATTGCGTCGTCATCATTATAAGAAGTCGCGTCGTTGTGAAAATGTATAATATTAGCAGCAGCTGAGAAACTTCGATGCTAGAATTTGAATAATTACGAACTAAAATAACAGAAGTGGTAGAGAGATAGAGAAGAGAAGATAGTTAGCGTGTTACATTTATGATTTTAATTAGAATTTATCTACGTTTTCGCACAGTCAAAATCATCACATTTGCGCTTAGAGGAAATCTTGTTTGGAAATCTTTCAAGAGATTCCGAAGCAAATATTTATATTTAAAAGTTAAATTGTGCAGAGTAGTTCGAAAGATATATAAATGTATACGTATATGTATATAAAATTCGATTTTATAGCCTTTCGGTTTTCGCGATCCTTTGATTCTCCAAATTCTGAAGAGATCCGATCTCAAGGATACATCTTATCGCCCCGAGTTTCTGCTAGGATCTTTCATGTAAATACTTAAGACGAGAGGTTCTTCCATAGAAGTGGTATAGGAGCGTCTCGAGATCTTTCTCGATGATGGCATAATAGTAGCGGTCACGAAGCAAGAGGCAATCGAGAAGTCGGCGGAATCGAATCACTTGATATGAGATTTACTTTCTTCGGATACATATATATGTATATATCGATTGCGAATACAGTTGTTACTTTTCTAATGATTGACAAAAAATAATTCGCGAAATAATCGAGACGTATTTTTATTATCAAAATGATTATGAAAACAAATAACCGCAATTTGAAGAAAACGAGAGAGAGAGAGAGAGAAATTATAATTATTTATCTAAATTTATTTATGAATTCAAGACAGTGTTTGACTCGCGAGAGACATGGCTTCCTTTAAACACGCTTAAGAAGCCTTTCGCGTGAAACTCATCTTCAACGATATGGTAATATGCTGTTAACAACACTGTGAGAAAATAAACACGTTTAATTTCGTTTTAAACAGTTTTCTTAGTTTCGCAAATGATCCCGCAAAGAAGTAACGTCTCGATACGTTAAGAATATTAACTCTGTTACAAGTAACTTTTCGGAAGACACAACAAAGAGACACACATACACAAGTTCCGTCTTATGATCATTATATTCCTTTGTTCTTCGCTACGTAGACCCACTCACCGCGCGGTACCGCTTCGAGATCCTTTTAGTATACGCTCCTTTCAGCGTCGTCATGTACGTCCAATAAGCACTTTAGATATCGGAGATTCCATATGGTGCGCCGCTTCTCTCGCGTGACTTACAAGTGCGCATCGCCGACTATATTCCGTGCATGAAATCTGAATGGTATCTTATGGCGCATGACGGAGAGTCGCGGTACAAAACCCTCTTGTGTCTTTGGCGTTTCTCCACGGCTGGATTATATACCGGATCCGTCTTCGTAATTGGCTTCTGCGATCTGCGTCTATCATCATCGTGGGTTGCGCGCTTGCAAGAGTCGACGAGGACCATCGTATAAACTTTTTGAAAGGGTTTTGTCTTGCGGCACAAAACATTCAAGTGCCACTCGTATCGCCGATCGATAAAGCGTCCTCGCGATTCATGACAGCGATTGGTCGTGTCGGACAAGCAGTTGCTGTGCCGTATCGCTGTGCCGAGCTAGCGAAAAAATAAATAAATTTCTTATCGAACAGGGGAAAACACTTGCTAAAGTTGTTACTCGCTCGAGAGGATTACAGAATGAGATTGTCGTTTATTTCTTTCGTACAAAACTTTTGTACAAAATTTAATTAATGTTTTAAAAGAGGAAGTTTCTTGTCTGTTTATTTTTTTTACCTGCCAGTGCGAACTTGTCTTTGACACGCAAGTATGCGTAATTATTTTTTAATGACTCGTCGAAGTTTTTTTTTTTTTTTAAAGAAGCACATTATACTGAAAAGAGAACTAGTTTAACGTAAGTGAAAGAGTGAAACATCTACAGCCATTTTATATATTTTCGTGACTGCGTTATTGTTTGTACTTGCCTATCTGAATGTCTCGGCGGTCTAAACTCCAAACAGAATTTGCGATGCTCCGAATGCTTCTGTTAGATGCAAAATACCGTTTCACCGAGGAAAGCAAAGTGAAAGGGTCGTGACACGGGCAGCAGTAATCTCGCTATGATCGTATGTTGTAAACTACATTTTGTTACTGGAGTTATACGCGAAGAATCGTAAATCCCGTCGAGCGCATCCCCGAAGCAAATCATCATGCGTTTCGAACATCAGTCACGCAACGAGCATCTCTCTTATTGTTAGAAAAACGACTCATATCATATTTGCCGCGTCGTCACGTGTGAACTATACGTCAGTCCGTAAATTGATATAAGAACATGTATAACCGTGCGATATGAAAGCTTCTTTATTGCTCTATTCTCATCCGTTGCGCGACGTTCGTACGTCTTTCTTCATACTGTTCACGCACAAGGGACATTTTGCTAGTATGGCGCCAGAATGAGAATATTCTCCTTAATACCTTCTTCTCCTTGAGCGACTCGGCGCCCGGTCTATTATCGAATTTCCGTACTATAGTAACGAGCTCGCTATTCACAAGGAGAACTATGAAGGGCCGAATAAGAAACACACATGAGAAAAAGCATTATACTTATAATTCTATTTTTAAAGAAACTCTATTATTACGTAATATATTTTACTTGTAAAATTATCAGACGGTTTGCTACATACATATTGACAAACGAGAATATATAGAAGCGGATAGTTCGAGTTCTTTTATTTCTTTTACAGATGTCATCGTCCAAGAGATAGCCTCTTCTCGTGGAGTTCCGGCTTTGATAACTTCACGGGATTCGTCAACTGGGGTTTCTTACTACTAGGCATTGGTGGTATTCGGTTGCTACTGGAAAATTTTATAAAGTGAGTATTTCTGAAATTGTCAATAAAATGCTTTGCTCTTGTATCTAACAGACGTGACACACTTTGTTGGATCATAAGTAGTACTTCACAACATATCTGTCCACTGATTGATAGAACATTTAAATAAATAAAGAGTTAACGAATTGTTCTACAGCTATTATTCGAATTTATCGTTTATTATTTGAATTAATTTATAAATTGTATTTTACTTACGAAATTGAATAGAGAACATTAGAAATCGGTAGTTGAATAGTTATTTTGTCGTTGAGATTTCGATCTAAATGTTATTCCGTGGAATGTTTTTCTCTTCTAAAAGACACATTGACGGAAACCCTTCGATCGTTCGGATCGAGATAAGTCTATTTCGAGGAAAAAAGAACATAAAAGGAGAACTAAACGCTATAGGCGATCGTGTTGGATCCATCGGTCCTAATAACACTGTAAAAAAAGAGGAAGTCCTGACAAGCAATAGCTCCATCAAGAAGTTGTTACTGACCCAACGGAGGTGGAACAGGGTGTCTCCACATGGGGTGGTCACCAATGGGTATTCGATGGGAGAACAAAAGGCGATCAGAAGCTCTTTTATCGGTTTGATGGATGCGCTGCCGTAGCAATTGACGGCGCGCGACAAAAAGAATCGATTGCCGACTAGCTGACAAAATTGAGTTTGTCGTAACTGTAACTGCTACAGCACGATTATTCGTCATTCTTCAGGCGCGGTTACAAATCGATCATGTAAGTGGATGTTATTTGGTGCTTGTCGGCGATTGTTGGTAGGACGTATAACGTGACAGATTGTCAAGTGGTAAGGTTGCACGATCTGTTTCGATGAGCTCGTATTTGATCGAAAACACGTTTGCAGGTGGAAATAAATTTGATACCTGTAAAGTTTAGAAACTACACATTATATCATTGCCGTGTGATATTGTGTTTGCATTGACATTCGATATTAACTCTATAAGATTTTTTATAATAAAAGAAAGATATAATAAGAGAGAAGGATAAAGAGAGGTAGAGAAATAGGATAAAATAAGAAAAATCAAAATATTCTTTTATCAGATATATCTAAATTATTCAACTTGCAATAAGATATAGAAATAATTATAAAAGATAATAATAAATGTGCATATATGAAAATATAATATATATTTGAAATACAAAAATAAATATTTAAAAAAGACTGTGACAGAATTGAATTTGAGTTTGATATAAAATAAATTATTACGTATGTCAGTAATATCGAGTGAAATAATCTATGCCTGTCATCGTGATAATTTCATTTGTCTTTTAACGTTCGTGAAATTTATGTACTTTCTACTATGAATTATTCGATTGACTTCTCAAAGTGCCGATCGTTACTTTTACGCTACTTGTGAAAGGAAGAAAAAGATAAGTGCGAGTAATATCAAATTAATTTATGGATGGCGGGAGTAGGACTGACCGTTCCTCACCTTTTCGAATCGAATTAGCCGTCGTCTGCAGCACAGCGATGGTTACGAGCTAGCGCTTGATTCCAAAGCTCAGACAATTGAAATTTAAAAGCTCTCTTCTATTTTATATTTATAGACTATTTGGGAATCAAATATAACATAAATCTTGACTTTTTCTCACATGTTCGTTAATATATCAAACAAATTTAACGCACAATCAGTACAATTTATTTATATTTATATTTGTTTATTTATCATAGGATTTATTTATAATACTTAATGATTAATTATTTAGTGTTATATTTTTTAATTATAATGTATTTAATATATTTTTATTTTAAATTTTTTATTCTTATATGTCTCACACGTAGATGCATATGCACATGTTTCCTGGGAATTTTTTCTGACGCTTTTTTAAGCATTAACACCTCAACAACTGACATGCGAATACATTGTGCCGCGGTTAAACATTAATTAAAACATTAATTAAAAATTAATAACACTCTCACTAAGAAAGGTAGAAAAACTATTATAGGAGCTAGTTGATGCGCAATAATTGCGATTACTTCTAATTTCATTTAATTTTAATGAACATATGTGTTTGACAACAATGATTGATTTAACTAAGATTCAACTAAGATTGCAGTATCAAAGATAATCACTGTTTTATTCACACATTACTCGTGCCATTACTCGCGCGACGCTTCCAGGATATCGTTCTCATACATAGTAGTAAGTTAGCTGCCTTCTTTTCTCATAGCGAAAGAAGAGCGTAAGCGTTGCCCATGAATAATTTCAACGAGATTTTTATCGCCGTTGTAAACTCTCGGCCTCGCGTCCGGCTGCTCCTAGGGGCGCGTAACAGAAATTTATCACGCTCGTTAAGCGTGGAAAAACTTTTGAGAGAACTTTTGCGACGTAATTGCGCGAGGTAGCCCCGACACGCTTCATACGCGCCTCAAACAGCTGCAGGCGGCCTAAGACATTGTGAGCCGTTTCCGTTCGATGAAAATCCTTTGTGAAATCAGTTTAAAGACATTTCATTGATTTGCTTTTAATTTGCTTTCTAGAAATCTTTGAAAGATTTTAAACACTGCAGAATACTTTAAAAAAAGATATATTTATATGTATTGTAAAATAATTCAAATAATTTAACAAAGCATATGGTCCGTTAAAATTAATCTTTATATGAAATTTGTGATCAATAGATATATGCCTGCGGCGTTTTATCGCGCCTTTGTATTATATAACGTAACGCTCAATCGGCCAGATAATTTCACGTGCGATCGCATCACCGCTTAATTAACTTATCGGCGTTTCCGATGGAGCACTTCGGCAGAATCGTAACCATTTAATACCGCTGCGTTCTCGACTGATTCGTTTCCAGCTGATAAAAAGTCTTTCCTAGACTTGATTCGCGAAGAACAAGAACAAAAGGCGGCCGAATCGTAAGGATGAAGTTGTCGACACGATTCCACTGCGATCGAGATTAATTGATGCGAGCGAAGGTATGGAAGGGGGTATGAGAGGTCGATTGGCGACTGAAAAAAAAATACGTCGGTAAGAAAGCGGGTAGATGCTTCTCTCTGCGAAGTAAAAAAAAAAAAGAGCAGCAAGAGAGCTCAATTAATCGAACTCCCGACGAGAGGTTCCCACGCTATCGATAAAAGCGCGCGCCGGGCGGATAAAGAGAGTTACTCTTGAAGTTTCTCCTTCTTTGTCTTTTGTATCCACGGATCGCTCGCGAAACTTTTTCTGAGATTCGCCATGCAGTCATAATTTATGCATTTTCAGATCCCAGATACAGATGCGCGCTTATTTCATGGTTCGGTTTTGTCGATTGCCTCGAATCATTTTCTATCCATTTGTTCGCGTCTGCATGCGTTTCTTTTTTTTTCCGACTATATTTGCTGCGTAAGTTCCTAAAAATGTTTCAAACTCGTGATATTCGAAAAATTGCCGCTTTCGCCGTGCGATTATAAATGATCCGACAAGTAAACAAATGTAGGACACAATTAATTTGGTCCTGTCATAGATTACATGTATACTTGATATATATGGTTTTAAATATTTTGGATTTTTCACAGAAAACGTATTATGTATATTTTTTTATGCAGATGATGAAAAATACTGCTGTATTTCTGTGGATATAAAAGTTTTTTTCTATTTATATACAATTTTATGTCAGTTTTCACTAGATGGTACTCATCAAATTAACAGAAAACGGAGAAATGTAAGATTAGTGAATCATGATGTTTTTTTTATAGAAGCATCAGTTATGACACTGATAAAATATTGCACATCAATATCACAGATGCATCTAAATGTGTCACAGTGGCAACTTTTTCCAATGTTCTGTTTTATCAATGATTTTCACTCGCGCGTCATGTCAGAACATAAAACTCATTTGCTGTGTTCGACTAAAGATTATTGGATATTATAGTCGGATATATTATTGTGCAGAAAAAGAAACTGACATCTTCAGAAATCAGATATTATATAGTTTTTAATATTTTTGCTTAAGATAAACAACCTCAAATGTTCTTCGTGAAAAATCCATGTTGCTGAGTCAATCCCACATTTGAAACGAGTTTTCTCAAGTCATGCCATTAATTCGGAAAAGTATCATTCCTTGCGTTCGCACAATCGCAGAAGCGAGGAAGACGTTTTTGTTCGCCGCGCGTTTTATTAATATTTAATGCGAATTGTTCGCGCGCCCACAGTTTCATCCAAGTCGGTCCCATATTGGCGCCATAACTCTTTCAATCTGGTTTTCTGCGCGCTCTTGCGCTCCCACTGAGAGTCACTCCCGGGGTTCCGACGTTTCCCTCTCACCAGGTTCGACGTGAAATTGGGGATTTTATCGTGACGCTGTATTAACGAACTCCGGCGGACGGAGAAGCGTGGATTTAACGGTCGCTCTCGGATCAAGACGGCTATTCCCGCTGGGGAAAGAAATTTAATATCGTTTCTGCTCACTCGCGTCTCGGAACGATGAGTTTCGATAAGTGTGATATCCCCTTAACTTTCGAGCACTCGAAAAATGTTTTATGAGACTCCGTATGTATACACGCGTATATCGAAATCGAATCGGTTTAATCATTGAACGATCGAACGAATGTGTTTTTTTCTCTTCGAATCTTTTTATTTCGCCAAAATAAATATTTACTTACGAACTAGATCATTAAACGGTAGTTTTTTTGCTCGTGGTTTCGGCAATTTTTTTTTATTATTTATCTTTTTAATAAAACACAAAATGTCTGTAAAATTTCTTCTAGTTTTTGTTATTATAAAATATTACTATTCTCTATTATCTGAGTTCAATAAGTTTGAGAGATGTAAAATAATGAACTGATTGCTTGGTGTACGTTCGGAGAAGATATATGTCAATGTTTGCTTATTTATAGGTTATTTGTGACTGTATTAGGTCACAGAGCTTTAACTATAGCCCAAAATGTTGTGATATTGAAGATGGGGCTTACATTATTGATGTGCGTATTCGATGTTTGTGACACGCGAGACTGTTTTCGTAAATTATCACCGATCAGCTGTCACACGGCGCGTTACACCGTTTAATTATGAACGAGAGTCATATTTTTTACACGCCGCTGTCCAATTATCGTAAACTGCGTCAACATGACGGATTGCATTTTCCCAGAGAGAACTAGGTCAGTGATTGCGCCCCAATAAATATTGTCTCTCTGTAACAACCACTCCCACTTCGAATACTTTAATTACTCGACCCATAAGCCTCGTTTATCATCGTTAACGGAGAGAGGGAGCGTACGACCTAAAGCCATTAATGTACACCGTTACCTTTTTTCGGCCGGTACATCTATCGTGTCTCGCGAGAAAATAATGTTTTCGATGGCTTAGGTCGATACCATTGCAAATTACGTTTTCAGACTAATATTACGATAAAACATACGCAAAACACATATTTTTATTCCACAGTAATGATAACTACCGTCGAATATATTTGTATATCATAAAATAAACAGAAAAAAGAAAACAAAGGTAATTTACGCATGTTATTTGCGAATTATCTTCTCTTGCTGTAATTTTGATTGCGTATCGGCATATATTTGCGAAACATATTAAAATTATGTAAATCCTCTTTGTATATTTTGCCCCGCTCTTTTGTAATCAATATATAGATTTTTATATTATAGACGAATGTGTACACATACAAACATAACGTAATCGACTATCATAATTTAACATATTCCATTTATTTATTACGTTATTCGACGCATCCTGTTTCTGCATAACTTCGTTTGATCTACGTGCAGAAATTAATATATGATTCGTATGAAATTCGTGTGTGTAGAAAATGCCATTTCACGAAATTGCCAATAAATAATCCCAGCACGATTTAGTCGAGGGCATCGTTTATAATATTTTCCGACGTGCGCCATCAAAATAAATCACAGACTCGAATCAAGATCGCAGTCAATCACGAGACAGACGTTTTCTACATTTCCACCGCGCCGGTCTTTCAGGAAAATCGTTTTATTTCCCAGCCATGGATTTTCTCTTTGCATGGTGCGATGTGGCGGTTATTATTTATCACGAAAGAACAAAGGAACGCGCTCAAATCTGCGTCTTCTTTATATTTTCTTCCTTTCTTTTGTTTTTTCTTCAATCATCTCTGTAGAAAAGATCGTACTAAGAAACAAACTATAATAATAATGAAACATTTGCTTCTCGGTTTGTATGTTAATATATCAGTGGTAAACTAAAGATTCTAATGAAGAACGTCGTGTGAAGGTGATTTTTATTTTTTTTCATGTTTATGTTCTTTTTTCATATTTTTCATTTTACGCTTAAACAAGATGTGAAAGTTGCTGAAAAAACAAGTAAATATCTTTCAGCAATTGTATATTTTATTTATTTATATTTGTTAGCATTTTATAATTGATTTGTGATAATACATTATCTCTAATTATATTATTAGACTTAATAGATAGTACATTGCCTTCGTTATTATTGCTGTAATATAAATTATAAATAGTAATGTATATTCAAGTATAAATTATATATGGCAATTATTACATAAAGTGATTTTATAAAAATCTCTCATTTATTTTTTTTATTTTCTTGCAGATATGGTATCAGAGTGGATCCTTGGCAATGGTTTCTTTTTCTCAGTGGCAAAAATGACGGTGGCGAAGAATATCCCTCGTTGTTGCTGATATGCTGTAAGTAAAACTGCCGATGTGTCATTTTAGTTTAATGAAAACGGAGCTGTCAATGCTCGTGACCTCAATTATAAAGTGATCGACAATTATTGTAGAAAGCTTTTGATTGACGTTACTTCGTTCATGTCAACAGAAAAATGTCAGTTAAAAAAATTACTTTTAACATTTCTTCTATTATTAAAAAAATTGACATAATTTCTTTTTCTGCCAACTTAGTTTTCGTGTTTCCATGTTTCCACGTTTTTTTGCCTATATTAAACATTCTATAATATTATTTCTCGGATTGTGAAACTATTAAACACAGAATTAATTTATTAAGTTGGAAAAGACTATAGGAGCGCCGGACGGAAATGTTATTAGATTACAAAATGCATTTTATTGAATTTATTATTTTACATTAAAGTCATACGTTTTTTTCTTAGAATTACGATGCTAATACGAAAAAAATTGATTACGTAAAATGATAAATTAGTGGCCTTGCAATCGTTTTTCTTCAACAAAACCTATAAAATCGAGCTTCACTGAGGGAGAGAAAAAAAACTACAGTTCGGACTCTAAATTCCACTTTATTGTCGAGGACTTTTGCGGTTGGTTCTCTGGTATTCGCGGTAATTCAATTTCTCCGTTTTTCCCGGACGCCATACTTTTTTAATCTTAGGTAACCTATATGTAATGTGAATACATGCTTCTGAACATAACGACATGTAATACCTAGGTGAAAACGCGTAATGACGCGCACCAGTTTACTCTAAAAGAAAAGATAGAAATATTACATGCGTTATTTTATAGAGAGAATGATGAACTATCCGAAAATGTAAAGTCAAATTTTTTCTTGACAGCTGTCCGATAACATTCGATCTGAAACTGGAACATATGTACGTACAAATCAATAATAAACAAAAAAAAACAAAATATCGAGAACGCTAAGAGAAAAAAAGAGTTTGGCAAAATAAAGAAAAATAAAGAAAAAAATACGTGGAATTGCGTCGTTGACAGTGATACAAAACGGGGAAAATGAAAGCCAGTCTGGCAACTCGAGCTTTTGTTTTAGTTCTCTCTCGTTACAGTGCGCTCATCGCAAAATTACAAAAAGGTAGAAACAGTTTGGCGAAGTAATTCCCCATCTCTCCAGAATTTATCGATTCTGAATATTCTCTAGGTGATGTTGGTTATTCAGAAGCGATATTTGAGCGTTTTTGCAACGCGGTGTATAATTTGCTGCGCGTTTGGCGCTTTCGCATTTCCGCCACGCTCGAGAAGTTCTCTCAAAGAATCGTTTTCATAATTTATGATCTGCTGTCTCGGGTGTATCCGTTGCTGACATTATTGTTTCACTCGGTGCCGATGTCTGTGCATCCATTTTCCATTTCGTTAAATATGCGCGCTGTCACGTAGCAAACAATACCAAGCCTTTGTCAGGCTAGCTCAAAGCGAGCGAGTCCAAAAATTCAACGAGTTTCTCACAAACCAAAAATTCAACGAGTTTCTCACAAATGTATAAATTTCAAGATATACGTATCATGTCTTTAAACAGCAAACATATTCCTCGCGTATTGTCCCTTTAGTGTCGCAAAGTGCGCTCGCTTGTTGCGTTTTCACCCGAGGTTGCTGCATCATAACTTACATCCGTGCAATAACCGAGCACATGTGCAGTTGCGAGCGCAACTTTCATGCACGATGGTTGCAGACTAGACATTCAAACTAAAAAAAAAAAAAAAATTGCGAAAAGCTTTGAAAGTTTAATAACTTATAAAGTAAAATATATAAAACATTGCAGAATTTAATAACATGAGTTTTTCTCTCTTTTATTACTTGAGATTCTAATACGAAAATAGTAAGAGAAATTTATGTTATAAATCTACTTTTTTGCCATTTATATCTTCTGTTACAATACAGATTTATTAGATAGCGTTAAAAATAAGAGTAACTCGCGTCTTTCTATCAAAGCGTTATTAGAATTGATTATTATTTTGAGGATTTTTCTTAATTCCGCGTTTTAAGAAAGAAACATTTATATAATTTATTTTCCAAATAGTTATTTTTCTGTTATAAGAATTTCAATCTATAAAGCAGATTGAACGCAGGAAGCTTGTGTCAGACAAGCCGCCACGGAGGGTTGCATCATTTACACATAAGGGAAGGTAATGCTCATGGGAAACTACGGCTAATAGCTCCCGTATTTTAGAATCTGCACCGTGCGCTGTTGCTTCTTCCAACGGGATACTAAACTCGTTTTCTTTTTACAGCCAACCCTCAGCTTTCTTTCTGCCTGCTCCCACGACGCCTTCCACGGGAGCAGACAGGATGTTTTGTTCCTCGTATCCCGCGCAACCCTTCGCATAATAATTTTCATTGCGAGCGCGAGCCGAAATTATTTTTTAAACGGAAATCTCTCAACGAAGTCGCTTTGTGATTAGGATGTTAATTATTCGGTAGATTAAATTATTTAGGAAGTGCTTCTCCCGGAGAAAGAAAGAGGACGTAGTTTTATTTTAATTTGGGTCAACTATATTTTTTTTTGTAGTATTATTATATCTTTATTGAACTTGCACGACTTGTCAACTGGAATAGCGCAATCAAATGCGAAAGTTCAACGGATTTCAATAGATCGGTATATAAAAAATATATAGAGAGTTTGAAAAACATAGGATTGGAATTCTGTTGTGTACCTTTCAACGTGAAAAACACTGAGCTAATAAAGTGCAGTTTGTTACCAATGTAAAGAATATCTATAGTTCATATATGTTATTTACTTGTTTTTTATTTGGATGTATATATTTCTAGATGTGACATTATTTGACAAACATTTTGCTATATATTATAATATGTACATATATACGTGTATATATATATATATATATATATATATATATATAAAGTTTATTTTATATTATGTTTATTTTATAACGTTGAGACGAAAAAAACGTAGGTCGTTACCTACTATTAAAATAATTTATTAGATTATCTATTTTCTGATTTGTGCTTTTCCTTATACATGTACATTATTGAACTTTTACGTTAACCAATAATTAAATATCTTTATCACAATGTAAAAATAAACATTTTCAGTGGTTTATTTCTTCTTTCGAAATATAATTTATTCAAAGCAAATTACTGAGGATAGAAATACCTATAATAATTTAATTTAGCTACAAATAACGTCACAAAAAATGACACAAAAAACGAAGAATTATATAAAATCGAACGTCGGCTTATCTTTTGTTCTTTCGGTTTAGACCTTCGGGGCTTGTACATACGTCCGGTACGTGTAGCGGGCGTCCGTTTAGCGGTTTTCCGAAAGTTCCGAGACAGGAAGTTCCACGGTAACTTAAAGTTAACTGTAACTCAATGCTCACGGCCCTCGAGCTGCGTAACGAGTACGGGGGCTAAATGTGAAAGGGTGTACCGACCATTGCCGACTACCAAGCTAACCGCTCGTGATAGCTCACTGGCGCGGGCGTGAGGGTTTGTTCTCATAACGTCGGGAACATCGTCGGCGCCCTGCCGCGCCTTGGCGTATCTTACTCTCTGTTGGCCGAATGTTTAAGACCAAACCCAGCGCGAGATTTGCATGCCATGTCTGTGGATTCCACCGCGGCGCGCCAGAAGCAACCGCGCCGCGGTAAAACAATTAACAATGTCTGCTGTAACAGTTGATCTTCCCGTACGTGCTGGTCCGCGAAAACCTATCCTTGGATACAATAAGTTTAGCTAAAACATCTCATTTTAAAGTTTCAAATAAAAATAATATTTGTTTATAATATTTATACGCACACATATTTAGTTTTATTTTAATATTTATTTATTTAGTTTCAATTTTGATACTTGCATATATGTTTACACACAATGCATTTTTTACTTATATTATTATATACGTGAAAAATTTATATATTTTTTTGTGTATGAACAAACGCAAAACTTAGAAAAACTTTTTATGACGCGTCACAGCCAATTTAGAACTAGACGTTATGTACGTGTGTTTGCGTATGTTCTTTTCTCGCATTCAGTCGTATAATTTTTTTGTTCCATTTCTACGACATTTTTATAGTTTTCCTCAGTTGTGCCACGCGTTTTAGTAGTTCAGATACAAAACTTCTTTTCAGCGCCAGCTCTTTATTAATATTTTAAACTTAGTTATACTTTGTTCCACTTGCCGCAATTTCTTTTTATCTTTTTGTTTCAATTTAATGAACTAGATTCTTCAGAGTAACAAATATTAATTAAAATATTAGAAATATAACGATATAAAAAAATAATAATTTATTCTTTTAACAGTGTATTAATAACATATCATTCGATTATTTTTGTAAGTTTTAAACCAATTTATATTATATCTGAAAAAATTTCGTACCTATTGAACGGTTGAAAAATTGATCTTTGTGTTTTCTTACCAAATACTATGGTAGGTAAAACAATTCAAACTTTTTTCGTTATCTTGTGTCCAATTGTGCCGTTAAAATTACAGAGGTACCGCTAGAGAGTTTCACGAGAAGTAAAATTTTAAAAGGGCCGGTGCGACCGAGCTATTCTGTCGTCAGCGGTGTGAGAGAACTCGCATGATAGGGATCGCTTTCGCGTTAATTTCAAAAAGCGAATCTCCGGGCCAGGTTTTCACGCCGGACGTGATGTTATACGTTTCGCCATTCGTGGTGGTCATTAAAGCGCGGAATGGAAAACGGAGGAGCAGGCCGTCATATATATGAATTACTTAATCCGTGCACGGTGCAGCACGGCGCGCGAGTATAATCGAATTAAATGCGAGATTGCCCTCGCGGATCCCTCCGCACGCATTTGCGCTGTTTGCGTATCTTCCCCGTTTATTGTCTATACCCTCGGCCGAGCTAAACGTAGACTTATTATACAAGTGCGCATCGACCCGAGCCGTTGTGCGCTTTTTTTGTGCTCCTCTCTCGTGCACTTCTGATTAGAGATACGGCGGCGCTGTGTGTACATTATCATTCTTCCGCGTGCTCTTCTTTTTCATTAGAAAAATCAGCACG